GCCGCTCGTCTCTGCTTCGACATAGTTTCCTAGATAAATAATTTAAATCGTCTAACACGTATATTCAAAATATGATTTGTTAATCTTTGATTCACTACTATAAATATAAGTAAAATAGAACATTATGTAAAAAAATACTTACCACGTACCATATTGATATAATTTTGGGACCAACATTACCATGGCAACCATCGGTTCTTAAGTTGACAACTTTAACTATAATGATAACCACATTTACGAGTGTGTCTACTTTCATCCTTTGAATATAACGTATATGCCTTTACGAAGACACTTTACGCTTCGACGACCCAGATCGGTTATTTGCAATGAGACTATGCGTCGGCTAGAAACCAAAATATGCAATCTGCTTATTACAGATATTCAATCCAAGTAGGTTTAGTAATTATTTATTTGGCCCATTTCTATTCCAGGAAAACATGAGACTTCGAGAACGGCTGGATGAATCGTTAGCTGGATTGAACGAAACCCAACAACTGTGCCTTCAATTACAAGAGGACGCCGTGAGGGAACGACAGTATATAGAAAGGTAAAAGTAACCAGGTTTTAAAATTTATCAATAGGTCAGGATAATTGGAATTCCCACAAATCCTTAGTAATGGCACACTCGGAGAAGCCACTCTCGTGAAATGTGAGAGTTCACCGCCTAACTGATCAGGTGTTCGTTATACTAGGGCAGCACACGGCATACATCATTACCGTTTTCACCATACCTGTTATTTTCCTATCAATACGTCTCAATATAATGCGTTCAGTATTTGTTTTTTTACTGTTCAAATATTTACGTTATTGTTCAGAATACTTTACATTTGGAGTTATACGAAGTCATCTTGTTTTGGAGTTATGCCCTTTTCGTTTTGTCAAATAGATAGAATTGCATTGATTCTAATGACCTTTATCGTGTAGTTATTCTGCACAAAAAATAATTAGCATATATCGTATTAAGGGAGAATCCTAGTCATAATTTTTGACAAAATTGGTGATAAATCGCATGACAATGTTCATTAGTTTATTATGTACAATCATGAAGCTAATGTCCCGTGATACAATGAAATAGCATTTTTTGCGATTTACAGTTAAGCTTTTTGAGAAATGTGTCCTAATATTTCTTGAAAATTGCTATTTTTAGAACAACTCCTTAGAACACAATATTAAAGAAAATTGCATTTTTTGACACTTTTTAAAACCAAGATTTTTTAAATAATTCAGAACAACAAAAAGTACTCCATCATTAACAACATATGATTTTTTCAGCCTATGTCACCAGGCTAGATTTTAAGATATTGCAAAATATCTCTGCCATAGGAACCTATGGTAAAAGTGTTATAATAGTGTCAAAATGGCGACTTTCCACAAAAATACAACCGTCAATTTCTTGATAAAAAGGCTGGTGACCCCCAACTTTTTTAGGTCAATATCTTTATATTGCCTTGGAGTACAATTTATTGCAAAATGAATAAATTCTGGTTTTTTTTTAAATTTATGAGTAGGCTTCTAACCTAACATAAGTTCTCCCTAATTGGTTCTACGAATAATCATCACTTCCCGAAATTCTATTGAAACCGCGCTAAATGTAAAATGTTTATTCATTGCATAATCTCGTAACGTTAGGTCACGTGGCAAATCGTAATATTTGTTTTAAAGCGTTACAGACGCCGCGTCACGTCGCGCTCTGTGCGTAGTATATACTGCGTAGTATATACTAGTATATTTCATGTGGCAAATACAACGCTTTAACCTGGGTCAACGTTCGCAACTAAATTGCCAACGATTCATCTGTGTACTATCACAAGTTGTTACTAATATACTCCTAAATTCAATGTATTCAGTCTTAAAAAAAAAAAAACTACTACAAAAAAAACACTGAAAACGATTTTCGTTTACCCCTAGGACTCGATGGGTATATACGTGTTTACATTTCGCTAAGTATGATTGCAAACACCACGTGATGTATTACAACTATTAAATTTCTTTTCAATTATTTGACGATATCTCAGTTGCCTAATATCGACCTATGTTGATCAAATTAAAGTAGAATTAATCTACTTTGCCTGTACTAAAAATAATGAGTCTCCAGCGCTGACCATTTTATCATACTGATTAATTGTAACCCAGTTAAGGGAAACAATGAAATCATTACGGATTCTTTTCTTTTGAGTATTTTGTATATCCCCCTAACTTGACAGAAAATTTATACCAAACCGATGATGATGATAAATTCCAGTAGGTTATGTCAGTATACTGCCGGTTTTCTAATTCGATGAAAATAGAAACTGTCATTGTCAGGCTGTCATGGTTAATAATGCTGGAAAATTATCCCAAACGTCCTCAATATACGTAATAGTTCTATAAGTACGCATTTTCGTGCTGCCTTAAAACGTAAGATTATAACCTATTTGACTTTTTTTTTTCATTTCAGAGAGTACACAGAAGCACTAATTGAACACGAGCGAAAATCAAAAGAGAGACAGAATCTGGAATTACAGCTTGAAAAGTTGAGGTAAATCTTCACGTGCAGGATTGTGCTACCCAGCCCTAACGCCTAAACGTCAGACCAATCAGAGAGCGGCTTGTTTATTGACAGTTTTTGTCTGACATATCAGTTTCCACCTTGTATGTATGCTTCGACTAAACTGACGTTCATGTCGCCTATAGTTGGTCCACAGTCCGAAATTAAAAGAAGGTTTTACATTATTCTAGACGATTATGACCCATTTGTCACTTTGCTTTCCCCCATCTACGTCATTTTGACTTCAAAATATGACCTCATCTCATCGGTGGGGGGTGGGTGTATTACGCTGTACATTTCAAGTTCTCCAACAGTGCGTGATCTCAGTATGCGCGCGATAAATTTGATTCCAAGATGGCGGCTACGTAACCAAAGAACACAGAGAAATCTTACATTCGTATCTTGTTCTCTTTCTTTGCAGAGATAAATATGAATGTCTGGTAGAGGAGACGTACACGACGGAGCCAGTTTCTAGACCATTTATCAGAAAATTAACAGATCTAAGTAGTTCTAGCGATTGCGAATGCGATCAGCAGTTACAGGTAATACTGGCAATATTTTGCGATATATTATGATTTCACGTAATGTTGTACGTTGAGTAGGATTATGGAGTACCTTCAGTCTACGTAATCAGTTCTAAAGTAGTGAACAAATATGTTTTTGCAATTACGTCATTACCTGTGAACAACTACTAATTCCACATATAATGTAAGTGAAATAAAACTAATCACTCGTCTGGAGCCATTTCTAGTAGCTTACAACACCGCGTAATGGGTTTTCTCTGCCGAAATCTAATCACTATATGTCACAGAGTCAACTGCGGATCATTTGCTAAGTTGTTTTAATTATGACCCGACACCACTTCACGGCGTGCGCCTAACTCATAAGTCACGAACCAAGGACACATCATTTGATCTGTTGCTTTGTTTGAGGGCGTCGTCATGCGTTTGCGTTGTTTTGTTGTTGTTGATGGTTTTATAAATACTTGTGACAATTTAACATCCTATTTCTATTCTTTGACAGTTTTTACAACTCCGAACACCAGACAGATGCTTCAAGATAGTGCTCTGTGGGGATTCTGGGGTGGGAAAGTCAAGTTTCCTTGAAAGATTCTGCCAAAATACCTTTAACGAGAAAACACAAGTTACCATAGAGATAGGTTTTCAAATGAAATCTCTAGTAATCGACAGCACGGTGATCTCGTTACAGATCTGGGACACCGCAGGCCAAGAGAGGTGCGTATACTATTTTGTCGTTTTGATATATATGATACAGGTTAATTGTGGATATTGACCTTTAACCCCCACACTATCCTGCTGCATAACTGATGAAAAACTGAAAAAGTATATTATTAAATAGTTTTATGTCCATTAAGCGACGTTAAGTAGTGCCAGGTGATGTGACTACTTAGTCGGATGGATAATTTAAAAAGAATCGGATATTTCACCTTATGCTAAGTGTATGATTCTGACGCATATTAAATCGATGTATATGTCTATCAAAACTCAATGCACGCTTGTTATACCCACCTGCACAATCAGTTTGCATTTGTCACATGACGTACTAGCTGCTTTCTCGCAAATATCGGAATGAATGCCAGCCTGCAATTTATTTGATTAGGATTGAACCATTAACTTTGCCAGGATTGATATGTTAGAATTTGCACGTTTCCGTAGAATATGATTTCAAGTACCGGGTAATATGTTTTTCCCCAGAGAGTTGTGTTTGAAAATCGTGTTCCTCTCCAGGTATTATTTAGTCACATGGTATAGATCCTTGAGTGCAAATCTGTTCTTACTCTGCAATATCCCTTTTCTATAGGTCGCGCCCTCCAGCGTAACTTGGACGTCCCGGCGTCAATATTGTTTTAATCTGTAATCGTCTGTTAATACAAATGACGAGCGACGTCACAACCAAACAGAATTGTCTTTTTTATCGAAATCTTCCACCCATCTACGTCAATCGTGACGTCACATGAATGATTCAGAGTCCTAGTTGAGGGGCGCCTGTTATTGAAATAAAAATGGTTTATTTACATGTTTTTATTTTATTCTTTCAAATCTAACACACAGATTTCGCAGCCTACCACATTCGTATTTCCGTAAAGCCGATGGCGTCGTCTTACTCTATGACATAACGTGTGAGAAGTCTTTCCAATCGGTCACTAGTTGGCTAGTCAATATTCAGGTATCGTGACGGTCTATTAATATCGATTTAACCTCTTTGTCGTACTTATTTCCTTAAACCTCCCTTGTTTAACGATTCCAGTCATTAGTTTGAGTGGCTCAAACTGCTAAACTATAGAATGTTCGGGTGATCAGATACAGCGCAGAGTAATTCTTGATGTGAACAAAAGCGCGTGGATTATCGAAGTCCGAGATTAAAATTGCTGCAAAGATAATCGATAGCCAGGGTTTAAATAATAAACTGAAATTATTTCTCATTTGAACGGAACAGCCCATGTCCATCCAAAACAAATTGGACAATCGTCTCAACCTGATTGGTGACGGTATTAGCGTTAAATAAAATATTCCTGGTATACATCTTCAAATATATACCTTGAATAATTCAAAGAACAAAATATTGTAATTACATCACAGTCATTCTAGTCAGTATATTTATTATTTATTTCATCTGTCGTATGTTCCTTTCTGTGATAACCTAAGGTCACCATGTGGTAACTGCAACACATAAATTATCGCTATCGCCTGAAATTATGACACAAAACAAATCAATTGATGATTATCTGCCTCTTCATCATTTTGTACATGTCCATTTCAGGAGGTTGATATTGATCAAAGCGCTGTCATTATTTTAATTGGGAATAAAGAAGACCTTGCGACCACTCAGAGGGTAATATCGACGGAATGTGGGAAACGATTGGCTGAAGTAAGTTGAAACAAAACAGCATAGTATATATAAACTTCTTAATGCACATATATAAATGAGTTTTATAAATTAATTCATTCTTAAATATGGCCGTGCAGACCTGTTTCGGTAATTATAATTATTATTAAATCTTTATTGCCGGATATAGAATGAAAAAGCTCATACACCCATATTAAAAACAAATAAATGAACATATACAAAGAAAAGATATATATATTCCGTGATGTGGTTTTTCAACAGATTATGTATCTGAGAACATGTGTTGGACAAAATAGTGTGTTTTAGTATCCTTCATGTGCCGAGTTCTTATCACAAACTAAATATAAATGAGCGGAGACAAAATGTAGCGTACGCCATAAATCCATATACATTGTATTAATTAAATTTCTCTTGTTTTATTATTTGTATTCCAATTATTTGTGCCTACAGGACTGTGGTGCCTTTTTCATAGAAACGAGTGCTAAAACTGGACACAATATATTTGAAACGTTTGACTATATGGCAAGGTATGGTAGCCATGTTGTTTTATGCACATTGTGAAACATTTTAAGTAATTGAATTAAATCATTACGTCACGGTCCCGCGCCTTTCGTGTTCATCTCGCGAGAAGGGGGTGACCAGACAACGACTAAATCATATATCAACTGTCTAAACCAAACACATGCGTTGTAAATATTCAACTTATTGATATTTTATTTTACAGAACGCTTCAAACACGAGAAGACGAGGTTGTCAAGACAGTGTACACAGTTGACGTGAATGAAAACACACACAAGACACAAAAGAAGAAAACATCGAAATGCTGTGCATAGCCAGACAAAGTAAAAATAGAATGACATTGATTTATCGAGTCCAAAGCTCTGTATAAAATACATGGCATACTATTTTTGTAACAATCGCTTTTACCGGGAAAATTCATCTGTCACTTTGACGTCACACAGATATTTGTCGCTGGAAAGCGCAACTTATTAGGAATGTCTAAGTTGACGATATTCAAATCTAATTTTCTTTCACATTCATCATTAATTTGAATGAAGATTAATAGTATTTTTCAAGCTGTAATTATGTAAAAAGAAAATGTAAATAACTGGGTATTTTTGAGCATTTTTAAATAGTTTTGTATGGCAGTATAAAAATAATCGTGTTTTGGTTGCAAACATAGCTGTATTCGTTCGATAAAATACTGAAAAGCCAAGTTTGAAATTTCATGTTCGTCAGTATCTCATCGAACAAATACAGCGTTGTCTGTTGCCAAAACATTTTTTTCTTACGATAAAGCTAAACAATATTCTTTTTCGTTCTGAGATTTTCAACACAATATGGTGTGATGCCTTCTTGTTTTTGTTTCTTTCTTGTTTTACATTATTTTTTTGAACATTTGAATTGACGCCCTGTCATGAAATTAATCTTTATTTTTATTTTGCCTGAAATCTTCTTCAGCAGTATAAAACAAAATTATTTAAACATTCTCAAAAATACACAAAGTACAACAAGTTTTTGAAAGCGTTTTACCAAGTGCTTTATTAACACACTGGTTAGAGTGTCATTACGTAATTGAAATTCATCATGCGGTGATTTGCATACTGAAATTTCATATTTTTCAAAACAATATACAATTACAATATAAATTACTAATTACAC